CTTTACTATCTTATCCTTCACCCTGAGAGGATGGAGAAGCAGCGAATCAAAAATTCTGCTCTGCAAAAACTGGCACTTAACTGCTCTGGCACTTAACTGAGATTTATTCATTGGTGCCAATGGAGAACTTTCTAAAATTTTTCTAAGACTGCTCGTTTGAGCTAACATCGGACTTATTTTTGTCACTTGTTGCTATTCTTGTCTTAAACCTTACTTTTTTTTTTAATTGTAAGGCATTCTGAAAGCTTCTTTTTTTTAATGTGGTGCTGATTGTGTAGGACTTGAAAATAAAAATCTCCAAACACTTTTTCAGTACATTCTACTTTCTGTACCTGCTCATTGATTAAGCCCTACTGCAGGGGTCTGCAACCTTGACAACTTTAAGACTTGTGGACTTCAGCTATGCTGGCTGAGGAATTCTGGGAGCTGAAGTCCACAAGTCTTAAAGTTGTCAAGGTTGCAGACCCCTGCACTAGTGAAACATGCCATCTTGAATGCACTTAAACATCACAAATATATCTTAGCTCCAATTTTTCCCCCTATCATGTTCTCATGTTGTCTTTGCCTCATTCCCAGTGCATAAATGAGATAATGTTTTCATGGTTCTTAGCTGAACTGGTGCTCCTTAGGCATACACCATCCTGCATGAACATTCACGTGCAAGATTGTGAACAGATGGACAAGTAACTATGTTTTGTTCTAGCCACAATTTTCTGGACCGTTATCTTTGTGGCTACCTGAAACAGATACATGACAAAACATCTAAAATCTTGCAGAATTCTAGAGTTTGGGCTTCTCCATTGAGGAGAAAAACACATTTTGATACATCAAAGGTGTCATTATGGATTCTGGCCTACATCGTCATATGGTTGTTCATAGGAAACAAGAAGTAAAAAAATAATTTGTAAATAACCAATAATTAAAGGCCGCATAATTTAAACCCGACATTTAAAAAAAAAGAATAATTCTTTTACAAATCTTTTTCACTGATTATGTATTTAAAAAATAATGTTCCTTACTTTGTGATTTTGTTTATAATTATGAAAATTATTAGTTGTTCACAGAACTCATAATCTGGGCCCAGAAAGTAAAACAGACTTAACTCCTAGCATCGAATTCAGTTTTAGAAAATATTTAACTGCTCTGCTGTTCTTTCTTTTTAAAGGGTAGTATATAAATTCACAAATAAATAAATAGCATAATGAAATGCAGCAACCTGAGCTATTGAACACTGAACGGAGAGCTGTTCAGATATGTGTTGAACTACTCCCATCTTTTTTGAGCTTCAAGGTTAAAGAGATTTGTGATGCAATACAGTTGAAGGTCATTAATATAAACTGCATTCAGTTGAAAACTAAATATCATGGCATTTGATTAAAAGCACAAACAGATCGAGGTCCTACTGAAGCCACACTGGGTAGCAGCCATGCCGTTGTGGATTTTTCAGTTTAAATTGGGTCTTGAATCATTCAGCAAGTGAGGCTGAGTTGCCTCTTGGCTTACAGTGGGTGGAGCCTGAGTTGACTTAAGTTTACTTCTTCTCTGCCAGTACACGCTGGAGAAGTGTGGACGCTGGTGAGACAGAACATGTTCTCCATCCATTTCTCCTAACTGCAATTTGCTTGCAAAAGTAAACTTTAGAATCCAGACCATTTGAATTGGTTGCCTTTCCTTACCCAATGAAAAATACCAGTAGTATGCTCTTCAGATGATTTTGACTCTCATTTAGTTCTAGTTGGCATTAACAATAGAGACAGTGGAATTTCCAAAGGCATGGTGTGTCTGTACTGGGGAAGATTTGGTATTACGTACAGAAAGTGTGAAATCACAGCTGCCAGTTCTTTAGCTGGTGTTGACTTTAATTCACACAGATTTCTTCCCAAGAACCCCTAATGCAGTCTTTCTCAACCTTGACAATTTTAAGGCATGTGGACTTCAATTCCCAGAATTCCACAGCCAGCATTGCTGGCTGTGGAATTCTGGGAGTTGAAGTCCACATGCCTTAAAATTGTCAAGGTTGAGAAACACTGCTAATGCATCAGCTTAGTATATGTACAGATCCAAGCAGTGTGGCATTTTGTAATTGGCAGATGGACGTTTTTGTCAATGTACAAATTTTCTAAGTTCCAACCAAGATTTTTTGGTACGGCGCCCACTGGGACCCCCACAACCTGTTTATGCCATAGTCTATTTTGATTTTATTTTATTTTATTTTAGATTTTATATATTATAAAATCTATTAGATTTTATATATTATATTTTGATTCTATTTGACCCATGGGGTTGCGATGGGTCGGACACAACTTCGCAACTAACAACAACAACAACAATTTTGATTCTCTGTTCTTGATACTTTGGGACCTTTTCTAATTCTTTGTCTGGTAATCCATTAGCATTGCCACCTCAATAGTCCACAAGTTCTTCTTTTCAATCAGTTATACCTTATGTATTATGAGCTTAGACTCTATCAATCTATATTTAAAAAATCCCACAATGTTTTAACCTGCTCATTTAGAGACAAGGTTACAATATATTTGAACTTATAACTGCCGTGAAGAATATTGGATGTGATTTCTTTATATTTTTTTTTCTTTTTCAAGGTGCTTTCCCTTTCTTTT